TATATATATATATATATATATATATATATATATATATATATAATATACTATATATATATATATATATATATATATATATATATATATATATATATATATATATATATTATAATTGGTGTGTGACATGTGTGACACTGAGGCCACGTGACGTGAGACACTGAATTTGTGTGTGGACATGTGTGTATGAGTGGGATTTTGGATTGCGTATAATATACATAGAATACGGTGGAATGTTATAAATCAAAGGCATTATTTATGTAAGCCAATAGTTTCATACATAAAGCTATCTTGTTTGTGTATGATTATGAGAATTCAGTCAAGTTTAATGTAGAGTTAGAGCTGGACACCATTGTTAAGTCCAGTAGTTAGTGCCTTTAGGGAAGTAACTTGTTGTAGGCGCCATAAGGCCGTGTACTGGCGTATATAAGCAGACACCATGAAGTGATCAGTCTTTATAGTCTTTGCATTTGTCAGTTTTCCACTTAAAAAGCTTTCACAATATATATATATATATATATATATTCGTATATGCATGTATATTTAATTTATATACATGTATATTTAATTTATATACATGTATATTCATACACACACACACACATATATATATATATATTCATATACAAATAAAATTTAATTTATATATATATATATATATATGTACATGTACATGTACATATGCACACACACACCCACACATATATATACATATATATGAGCATAGTTCTCACATTTGCTTAAATTTTATGTATTATATAGTTTGTTAAGAAACATATTACAGTTGAGAACAACTCTTTAAGTGGAGTGGATGAAAGCAATGTGTAGACAGCAAACATGGGAACCTATGCTTTTGTCGAATCGTAAAGTCACAGTCAAATCACGACACGACAATCAGTGACTTATCAGATTACGGCGATCGGGTGAATCTTTAGATGGAACAAGAGTTGACTTGAGTTTCGCAACCATACACAATGTAAATGACACACGACTATCGGATTTCCGCCCTGGTATAGGGAGGCAGCAGTCAGATGACCTGAAAAGGTATATATTGCTCCTTAAGGCCGAAACCGGGCGGAAGGTAGATCTGGTGGTATCCTCACCACTTACTAGAGCTCTTAGTACGGCGACTCGAGCGCTATCTCGTGTTGAAAATGGTACTTCTCCAGTCAAAGTTTTGGCGTCAATCCGCGAGCGAAGCAATCGAGCTTGTGATTGTGGAAGCTCTACCGATGAATTACGGCAGGTATGCCCTAATTAATATGGGCTCTAGACACTGTGGTTATTCATCATTTCCCGAGGACTACTCTTGATACTGTCACGCTGTTCACGACAATCTCATCTCTAAATTTGCATTACAGTCCTTTCCGGCTATTGACATGCGTGAGCTGCCAGAGGATTGGTGGCAATGCTGGCACGGTGATTTTCAGGAGTCAGTTGAAAGTGTGGCCAAACGAGCTGAAGAATTCACGGAATGGTTGCGCGGACGACCAGAGAAGACTATTGCCGTGTTTAGCCATGGTAATTTTCTTCTACACCAACTAGGGGGGCCCCGAATGGGCAATTGCGAGGTATGTCCTCCTGCAGGTATAAAGGCATGCAGTGCCTTCGGTTGTGGAATGCATGCTAACGTTGGATAGGGGGTGTGGGCTGTGTGACAAAACTCTAAAAGTGTATCGTTTTCGTCTGTTCGACTACAGCAAGTGGGCCCATGGTTTTACAGAATATACTTCGCAGAACCTGTATTCGTGGCATGCATCTATTCATTTGTTGGTGGAATTAGTTTCATACTAACATGATTCCGTTGCGGCGAGGTTGAGCTTTTTCCTGTGTTGTATGAGCTGATGTCTTCGATATTTACTGAGTGCGCCCTTTTATTCCAGCTTCGATTGTGGAATATAGACATCGACGCAGATTCAAAAACGGCTGATCATCCGGGTATGAAATTGAATTACGAAGTGAAGTTTCAATCGAATATTGGGAAAGGGTTCGAAACGAAAAGTTCCTAAGTTGCTTCTGTAGGCATTCATCACGAAGCATGTGAAATTGTCATTAATTTTAAGTGCTAATCACGATTCTGAAAGCATCAACTTAGTAAGATTGGCAGCAATCTCCAACACCATTAGGCGAATATGCACTTCTTTGTCCTGGGTGAACACCTAGAATACTTCTAAGCCATCTATCGTGGAGCGTGGTTTTAGTATACAGATTCGCTTCCAATCGGTTCCATTGAGCACATGCAAAGACAGGCTTGCTATAATTAGGATCTCTCAGTAGGTACGGAGGAGTTCCATAGTACTATGGACGTAAAACTCCTGCACAACATCGTGTGCAATGTATCTTATTTATAAGGGACCAGCTAAACACACCACATCTTGTACGTGATAATTCTCGACGTATAGATGTAGGCTAAGTCATCCTGCGGAAACAGGCAACGTACTAGCTTCCTTGTACACCCCTGTATCTGAGAAGTAATAGATCTCTATTCTTTTCTACTAGAAGTTCCGTTATCATTTCAAAGTTGACCGGAAATAAAACAATATTCATACTTTTCAAGTCAAGTATTCGATCGACATGACGAGCTCGTTTCACTGGGGCTCGCAAGGAGTGTACCAGTGAGAAGGGCAAACAGTTTAAGATAAATGTATACATGAGACGCCAAAGTTCTTTAAATAACAACGGGCGGTACCAATATACCCTTTCGTGTTTGAAGATTGATGATGTATAAAACAGTTTAAGATAAATGTATACATGAGACGCCAAAGTTCTTTAAATACCAACGGGCGGTACCAATATCCCCTTTCGTGTTTGAAGATTGATGATGTATATACTTTGATATTTTAATGACAGCCTTATCGACAATCGGAAGGCATATGCAGGAAATGCTGTTGTGAAGAAAGTATCTTTTATTCAAAACGATAAAACGCCCGAGAGAAGGAAGGCTGAACTTATTCATCTATAGAATTTCCTCCCACTTTCCACAAGCAATGCATACTTTTGATGCTTGCTAATTTAGCCAGAGTCACTGTTCCAGTTCGTTGACGAATGCGAAGTTCGATCCTTTCAGTAGTGATTTTTCTTCATCAGTTCCGGCAGTCATCAAGCGCCAACAGTTGGGTAAGCTATCCCCAATGAGCGGGAAGCCTTTCTATGCGAGCGCAAGTTTTGCATACTTGTCGTAGTGTATCACACTCAACTCCGCATTGTGCATAAATTATCTCACACTGGCGGCTCAGTAGCAGCCTAGAGATCTATTTTGTGCAATCGGGCGTTCATAGATGTTGTGGCGTGCTTGCAAAACGCGCCAAGTATAGTATTGAGCATACTCAGCGCGTATAGTCAAATCTCATCTTTAGTTTCCACACTATCACGCCGCGCATATTTGACTGTAAAAGCTTAGCTATTTGCAACCCTCGGCGACAATTGAGACCAGAATCGACACTCTGCAATGTGTTCACTATTGCGAATATGCATTGACTTGCTCGAGAGCAGGGTCCAATTTCTTGCTATTACAAGTACAAGGAAAGGCCATAAGCTACACCCAAACTCCCTCAATAAAACAGAAGAACGCTCATGACAATCAGTTGGTATAAAGGTCAAAGTCTATGCGCGCGCCGCTGTTGAACTCAGCGTCCGCAATTCCTGCCTTCCGGACCCAGAAACCATCTTTAAACATACCAGCTGTGGGGGCGATAGAGCAAAAAAAAAGCCCCCATCAGATTGTTGCAATTTTGAAGTTCATGCACTTCGTAGAAAACAATGTGCTGATATACAAACCAGGCAAGCATCGGCCACAAAATGCGCTGCTACAATTATCACAAACGACTAAACAAGGATAAACTTCCAACTTTTTACTGTAACCACGACTGCACGAATGATAAGCACATACCATCCTTCCAATCGCGCATCATGGTGCTCGAGAACGGCCCGAACACCTCTGCGTCGGGGTCATCCTTCCACCGATACTCCCAGTGTACTTCTGTGCTGAGTGGTCTATATGTGGATGGATGTGGAATAAACGTATGCGGTTTGCGTTAAACAATTTGTTGTAGGAGCCCAGATTGAAGATCCATGGCCACAGAACCGACCAAATGGGATTCATCGCGAGCTTCAAAAATACATACTGTGCTTCAGTCGAAGCCTCTTGTGCTTTGGGTTCGATCTCGGCATCGGTGGCGCTTGCGGCAGTCTCGCTTTCTTCCACCGGCGTGGCTGCAACCTTCGCTCTTTTGGCGTTACCCCGTCCTTGAATCACGATGTCCGATTTGACCGTCTCCGTTGCGAGCATATACGACTTTATACGATCGTATGAATCTGTATATATACCTAGGAGCAACCGAGAGAATAGATGAATGCTCCGTTGGATCAGCGATCCTGTTGTCGAGTCACTCCGTGATACACAGGGAGTTGCAACGATGTGACACACGCAAACAACCATGGAGCGGACGTACTGTAAAATCCGGATCCCATAAGCCGGTCAGTGCACTCAATTAGCTGGCTCAGATTTGCAGCCTCAGTTGGAGTTGGCTCTGTTGCAGATTCCGGTGTTTTTTGAGTGGCGTCTAGACTCTCCTTTTCTTTCTTTTCCTTCCGTCTTTGTTGCCAAGTTTTCTTCCGGGCCTTCCCCTTTGAGGAGCCCAGTCGCTTGGAAGCTAACGCAATGGTTTCCCCGGGGTGTAGAATGGAGAGCAACTTTTTCAGTTCCAATCCCTTGTCGATCTCATCCTTACCTTCTATAGACTCTTGATCCGTGGGGCGCTTGGCCACAACACTCTTAATTGTGTTATGGTGCGCTTTAGCAAGATGCGACTCTTGGTCCCATTTTACACTTGCCAGCCAAGCGTCATTATCCTCCTACAGACAGACATATCACAGCAAGATATAGTTAGAACTATTCATTCGGCAAACACGCGGAAATCCAATTGAAAAAATAAATAAATAGAAAAATGATCACACAAGCGAATATTTACGCTAATAACAGACAGGGCGAGTAATGAAAGTTGAATATAAGTACACAATCCAGACTCACATGAAAACTTCTCAACCGCGAAATAAAAACATACATTACATTTATATATATATATATATATATATACATACACACACACACACACACACACACACATATATATATATAAGTATAATAATATATATATTATTTGTTTAGTATATAT